CCGGGTGAATTTGTGGTTTTTGGGGGGCCACACGGGGAAGGGGGGGGTTTTGGAGAAACCCGAGTTGGGATTTTGTTAATTTTGAAACTTTGGCGCGGGGTTATTATTTAGGGGGGGTTCCGGCCCTTTTGTTTTGGGGAAATAAAATAAAGAAAAAGACCCCCCCCTCTTTTGGACAAAAAGGGGGAAGGGGGTCAACCCCTTGGGTACCGGGGGTTTGTTGGTTTCCTTTTCCTTTGGGGGGGGCGGTGTTTGTTTTTTTTTTAACAGGTTTTGGGCCCCCTTTTTCTTCTTCTGTTTTTTCGTTTGGGGGGGGGGGGTTATTACTTCTTCAGCTTCGTGAAAAGACCATTGGGGTGGGTTTTTTACGGGGGGGGGGGGGGGGGGGGGGGGGGTGCAAGCGCGTTCTTTTGTGTTGGATTTGGGGTTGGAGGGTGGGCACACATCGTACATCGTACTTGGGGCGCGTTGAGCAGCAGCCGCCTAGCATGTACATACCTGCGGCTGCTCGTACACTTGTCGTGTTTTGATCGGGGGCGTCGGGAGCGACACGGAAGGATTGTATGTAGCTTTGCGTGGCGCTTGGACTGGAAGTGGGCGACGCTATCGAACCAAGTCACAGGACACTGGAAGATTTAAGAACGATAAATGATCCTCAGGCACGGAAGATACCTCAAGTGAAGGAATCCTAGCCAGAACCATCTGTAAACCGGCTTTGATTTATGGAAAGCTGAGACTCGTGTTGTATTCTACAGTACCTCTGATCCAGATCAAGCTAAAAGAAGCACTATCAATCAAGGGAGAGCGAGCTTCATGGTGGCGACCATTTCCCTCCCCTGGCCTCCCTCCCACCTCGTTTTGTAGGAAGTTTTTTGCAATGAGCGAACGATGCACGACGACACCCTCGCAGTATAAGTGAACGACGACGACATTGATTGTAGGCCGTTCTTGTAGCACTTTTTTTAGCGTTGCCATTCGACTGTACTGGTGAGGTCGCAGGAAGAGGGAGCCTCCAAGACGCTGTAGGTCGTTGACGTACCAGTATTTTCCAAGCATTGCCGTCGCACTGCTGTACTTCATTTAGTTGCGGGCGCATTTTGTTTTTGCACCTTTCGGTGTGTGTTTGGACGCAAGCAACCAGCCTGGTAGTTCGCGCAACACGAAGGTCACGCACGATGCTATTTTACTTCGTGTCTCCCACCCTCCTTTTCAAAGAAGACGTACGGGTGCAACAAGAATAAAGAACGGGTTCGGTACAGCCGTGTGGTCGCAACATGTGGCGTTCCTTCGTCGACAAAAAGTGAAAAGAGGCAGGGGACCAAGGGATTGCAGAAGAAGCATACCTAACTACAGTAAAAGAATATCGTTGTGGTGGGTAAGAGAAAAAAAAAAAAACCGGAAGCCGGAACACGATGGTATGTATCTACGACGGCCAACACCCCACCCAGCAACTACTCAAGAATCACGCAAGACCGATACATTTATCGATGGGCTGAGCCAGTGGCGTGCGCTACCCAATCACCAATGGACTACCGAGAGCGCGCGACCTGAACTTCGCGACCCGCCCCTATGGCGTGGGTGAGAGTGACGACCTCATCTGAAACACGGCCTTTCTTCACCCTACGATCACCATCCATTCCAACCGAAGCTCAGCCAACACCACGGTCGATCAACAAGTCGAGACGCCTCTGTAAGCACCGACCACTGCTGTCAAAATTCAACACCATGCGCCAGTTTAACCCCCAAGGCGGGGCGGACCCTCCTCAGTATCCTGGTGGGAACGAGCCAACGCTGGCCATCTCCTGCATCTTCGCCCCCCCCACCTCGTAGACCAGCTTGAGCTTCATCAACAGGTTCTTCTGCCCCTGCGAAAGACGTCAGGTTTGTTACGACCAGACACGGCAGAGGGGCGCGAGAGAGAAAGAGCTTGACGCGGGGACACGCGGAGTAGGGACAGTGCAGCTTTGTTTGGGGGCTACAGACAGTCGACAGCACGTTAACCTCAATCACCTCGTCTCAGCCGCTTCTGGTACTCCCCCCCAAGTCTAGACGGTCCCTGTTGTCGCAACATGCACGGGCTGAGATCGCCATCACAGGTGGTCTGAGGACAAACATAACAATCTCTGACACCACCGGCTTCACCAACACACCACCACTATTTCCAAATAACCGCTTGCATACACGTCCCCACCAACACACACTACCCC